ACACAAGCTGTTTGAACTGACACTAGGTCAAAGCAGCATACAATTTCCAACTTCTTATGCTCAGAGTGAAACATAACAATTGAGAACAGAACATAAAGGTTGTTGTTGTTGTTTGCATATACCAGCACAGCTGGTGTGCTTTGGAGAAATTAACTGACAGGATGTGCTTAATTCTCTTTCAGAACTTAATGTAGCATGCACAGTTTAATTGTTTTCATATATATGAAGACTACCATTATCTCTTTTTTCAACCTGCTAGTAATTGTTTGGTTTTATAGACCAGTGATGGTCTATTTATTAAATCTGAAACATATGAGGGAAAATGATTAAATTAGGATGATTATAGAAAATCTGGAGAGGGTTTGTGACTTCTGTATTAGATATAAATGACAATCAGTGGCTATTGGTTTACATATGTTTCAGGTTTGTTAGAAGACTTAAGCTTTGTATATGGTTACTTCATCCAGTTAATATATGATCATTAATAGATCTACAAGAACAATATTTTCCAAATATTTTGGAAAAGGTGTTTTGATACAACTATAGGGTCTCTTTAATTATGTTTTTTATTTTAAAACTGGGGGGAAAAGTCATAGCTGTTTTAACGAAGCCCTTCTTCCATGCATTTTCAATCATACCTGCTAAATTCTTTTTCAAGGTTACCCTACTTTATTTATTTCTACATTCTCTGTGTCAGAGATTTTTCAGATATTTCAGTCTCTCTTTACCTAACATTTAATTCTCTCTATCCTCCCTGAAGTAAATCAAAATGCAAACCAATTTCTTATTTTTCTTTTCTATCATTTCTCTGTTTCCCCCCCTATTCTTGGAATGAATAACTTCATAAGTGGCCTAAAATAGTCTAAAATCCAGAACATTATTACATCATAAAGGTGGAAGGAAGGAAAGAAAGAAAGAAAGAAAGAAAGAAAGAAAGAAAGAAAGAAAGAAAGAGTTAGATAGGATATATTATAGTTCATTATAATCACAATATTGAAAGCAAGCAGGGTTCCCAAACTTCTCAAAGAGGAGAAGAGAGGGAAAGAAAAGGAAGGAAAATACATAAAATATTAAAACAAACAAACAAACAAGCAGTACATAACAAGTCAACAGCTAAAAATAAGAGCCTTGGCAATAAACTTTGCCAACAAGATTGCCAGTGGTTCTTTGATATGTATAAAACCTTGCTTTTTAAACACTTTAAGTTACAGAAGGATATTTTTCAGCATTGTTTCTGCACAACATTTGTAAAGGCTCTTTGCTGAATGATTTGTGGGCTAGTAGGCTTTATCATTTTTATCTCTGCTATTGCTGCTTTGAAAGAGAGGAAGGAGATATTTCAAGAAATTACTACAGTATAACCTTTGAGGTATTCAGCCAAAACTTGGCAGCACAGTTAATATCCTCTAAAAGATCTCTCAGTCCTGTTATTTTCAGTCTCATTTCATCCCATTTGGCCACAAAATGAAGCAGCTGCAGGCAAACTTAACTTATGGTTTCATTTCTCAAAGAAAATTTCAAATCAGTTTGATTCAAATCCTGTTGCCTTGAAAACTCAAATTCCAATAAAAGTTTGCTAAGTTTGAATCTTAAATTGAGATTTCAGCTAATTTGTAGTACTACAGCATCTATGCTGACTTTAGAATATTGATGTTTTTAATCCTTACATATTTGCTTATTTAAAAAAAAAATGCAGGTACCATTAAAAAATGCAAGTTCAGCATTCTGAGATTTCTCTGCTTTCAGCATAACTTGCTAAGATTTGCCCATTTAAATTAAACTCAATTTATCCAGGATAATCTCATGATTTAAGGTGCTAAGGTAGCATTATAAGGAGAATGTGGAGCAAAAGAGAGCAGTATAATTGTAGTAAGACTATTACTGGGAAAAAGATATTTTTTTTTACAGTTGCTTTAAATCAGAATGCAATCAAGAGATGATTTTATTGAAGAATTATTCCAAAGGTCGGTTGCCAATTCTCTGCTCACACTCAGCATTATTCAGCTGAGTAACTCTTGTGTTGCCTTCTGCACCTTCCTCTGCACTTGGAGATTACTTTGACAGGGTATAGAAATTTTTTTTGTTTCTCTCCACTGACAATGTAAATAATTTATAATCAATCCGTATAATGCTAGAAACCAGATGTTTCAAGAATAAGAGACTCATGTTAAGTTCATATCTCCAAGATGGTCATGCATTAAAGCTTATCTTGCACACCTTGGTTCTCACATTTATAGCATTTATAATGTAACCCCTGTTTCAAGATGCATGTATTTTAGAATCTCAAGACATGGCTGTTGTTTTGCATGTCTTGCATGTTATTTTGCATTTATCATGATAAGAAGTTTTGCCTTTCTAAAAAAGAAGCTTTCTTAAAATGTCTCTTTCTTCTTTTAGGAAACCACTGCAAATTTTGGAATGTAGATCTAGAAAATAGGTTCACTTTGGGGTTTTTTTCCTCTCCTTCCCCACTCCATATACTAGCCTTATTAGAAACTATTGTACATGCAGGATGGCTTTTATAACACAAAACAATGCAAAAATATACCGTGTTTTCCCAAAAATAAGACCCTGTCTTATATTTTTTTGAACCCTGAAATAAGCGCTTGGCCTTATTGCCATGCACTCAAAAGCCCAGTTGGGCTTATTATCAGGCGATGTCTTATTTTGGGGAGAACAGGATACCTATCTACTAATTTGTTATAATAATTCAGAATTCTGAAAAAGCTTAAAGGGAAAGCTTTTCCTATAATTAAGAAACCTGATAATGCAAGATCTGGGTAAGCAATCTTGGTATTAGATCTCTCACAGCTTCTCTCCTGCCAAAGCATTGAAAGTGTGAAAGCAGAAAAGTTGTGTCATTGGAACCCCATCAGTAGGTGGGTGGGGTTAAGATAAGCTTTCACATATTTAAGATCACTCATTTTTAATAAATGAATAAAACAACTGGAAGCTGCAATATAACAGCTTTGAATAAAATATTTCCTCTCATGCTACATGTCCTTGCAGAACCCTCCATGCTGAGCTTGTCGATCAAAAGGTTGGCAGTTCAGCGGTTTGAACCCCTAGTGCTGCGTAACGGGGTGAGCTCCCTTTATTTGTCCCAGCTTCTGCCAATTTAGCAGTTTGAAAGCACGTAAAAAATCCAAGTAGAAAAATAGGGACCACTTCGGTGGGAAGGTGACAGTGTTCTGTGTGCCTTTGGCATTTAATCATGCCGACCACATGACCACGGAGATATCTTCGGACAGTGCTGGCTCTTTGGCTTTGAAACGGAGATGAGCCCCCTAGAGTCGGGAACGACTAGCACATATGTGTGAGGGGAACCTTTACCTTTATACGTTTCTAAATATACTAATATAGGGAAACTCTAGCTGCTGGAAAATAAAAATAGATTCATTGATCTGGGCTGCAAAAATCTGGACATTTACTAGAAAGTAAGCAGAGAGTTTGTCTGCTGTTATCTCTTTGCAGCCTGGATCTGAAGACCTATTGAAGCTTTGATCTTTCTACTGTGCTTTATCAGGATTGCTTTGAAGAATTAATAACCCACCTATAAAGTAAGTGAGTCATCATAAATAATTCTGAGGGCTGCATTAAAATATTGTGCAGGCTTCTTTTAAGAAAAAAGGAGGAAGAAAAAAGTGAGGGAAAAAAGAATGATAAAGGTAGCAGTAGAGAAAATTAGCAGAAGAAATCCAATAAAGCCTGCTTAAGAGCTTTTGAAGTAATTTGGGAAAAATGTGTGAAATTAATTTACTTTAGCCTAACTTCATCAAGCTGTTCAGAATTATTGGAAGTCTGCTGAGAACATGGAGAGAATTTTTTTTATTATTATTATTATAAACTTAAGCAGTCTATAAACAGGAATGTTATTCCTGGAATTAAGCAGGTTGGCAGTCCAATAATATATTTCTAACAAGATAAATGTGTGTGAAAAAAATCTATTCAGTTATAAACTGCTGCTATAGATCCTGTGCAAACAATTCAAAGGTGTTTTTAGAGGCTGAATCTTTTCATTTTCACAGCCATACAGGAAAAATTACTTGGTCTGTTGTGTGGATGTTTGGGTGGTTTAGGGGTGGGGAATTGTGGTGGGTGGGAATGTGTTTGGGGATTGTTATGTGTGTTGGACCTGGTCTTTGGGTGTTAAGTGAATTTCGTTGTATACTGTGTATACATGTACAATGGCAATAAAGTTGTTGTTGTTGTTGTTGTTGTTGTTGTTGTTATTAATAATAATAATAATAATAATAATAATAATAATAATAATAATTTCTGGAATCACACACAAAAATCACAATTCCTAGAGAACCTTTCATTATGAATAATTAGTTAGACATAAAAGTAGTAAAGTCCTTGAGAAGGCAAACTTCTATATTTTACCTACGTATTTTATGTATTCTACCCTTTTAATTTATCTATACAGGATTAATAAAAGTATTATTTGGAAGACTATTTTATAATAAACTAACAATTATATCCTATAGCAACTTTGCATGTAGGGTTGTAGGAATGAGGGCTGGTTCAATATTTGACTTCCTTTTTCTACTTTTTTTGTGGCGACAGGAGGAAAACAGTCCTATTTTAATCTGAACAGAGGGAATGGTGAAATAGTCTGTTGAGATGTTTAACAAATTCTTCTTCCACAGTATGCCCACAATAATCTTCTACTCTGGGTGAATAGGTCTGGATTAAAGAGAATACTCAGAATTAAGAAGAGGCAAAAGACACCTATACCAGGAGTGGATGGGTCTTCTATCAATGAATCGGTGATTCTGAAAATCCAGAAAGGCTTTGCAGAAATAGTTAAATGTTGGATTTACAATAGACTGAGATGAATAAAGAACTGGAGCTGGCCTCGGTAAAAATGAGCAATGAAAGAAACCTAGCTGAAAGCTGAAGTAATGTAGCCGTACAGTAGATAGACACTATTTTATTGCCTTATTAGCCTACCTAGAGTAAGATTTACAATAAATTCTTCAAATTTATATTTCCAGATTAATTTTCTGAAGACCGAAATGGAGAGAAAAAGCAAAATGATCAGAGATCTCCAAAATGAGGTGAGATTAGTATCATTTCCCCCCGAAAGATGTTGAATAATGGCTACACTTTTGTTAGGAAACAAATACATGGTATTCATGAATTGTTTTTATAGGAAAAAGAAAAGGTCTTATTAGATGCCTAGCGTATTCCCAATAATACATTTCCTGTTGTTTTATTATATATTTAAAATGACATATTGCAACAGAAAGAACTAGTTTTGAATATTTAAACATTCAACCCTTATAAAATTGTAATTAATACCATAAATTGTCCTGAATATTTAAACATAAAGTAACTCTGTTTACTAATTTGTGGGTACATATAGAGTATGTGGATACTTGATTTACTACACCATAACCTTGGCAAAGACACTATTGGGAGTTTCTGATTCTTTCTCATAATTTTGTTATGTGTTATGTATTTGTATAATTAGTTATGCTGGCTGAATATGAACACGCTACATAGAGTGGATCATGATTATAAGTCAGACTGCAAATAATGACAAATCACTTCCATGTTATTACTAAAACAGTCAAATGAATATTCTCATGATTCAAACTTGACTTGAAAGGCACTTTACCTTTTAATGTGAATTTTTTTGATAGTTATTTCTCAATTTTTGCCAGTTTGGGTGCTCACTAAAATTTATTTATAACTGCAAAATCAATGCTCGCATCACTTTTGTGGTCATTCATGGACATGGAGATCAGTGAAAAAATTGTCAGCCAATGCACTCATTTCAGCTGACCAACTATTCAATAATTCAGTATTTGAGTTACTGATGATGTAGTCTCAGTTTTTAAATCTGGTTGGTAGAAAATATTCTATATACAAACTATGGAACAGCTAGTTTTCAGTGTCCCACTTCTGAACCAAAGAACGCGTGCATTCTCAGACTTCGTCTGAAATGTGTGTTCCCAGCAGAAGTGTTTTATGTGAAGAGAATCAGCATAAAAGTAAGAACATTAGTGATGACACTAAGAAGAAGGAAGAAAAGGAGGGCAATGGGAAAAACAAGATGAATGATTGGTAGGCTGGTTGGGTGGGCTATGTTTGAAGTCAATGACATCAGTTATGGCTAAGGGTTGATGGAGAAAAGAAGGTGCTAAGAAGATTAAGAAATAGGTGAGGAAATTGCTAACTGTACCACACTTGAAGCCAAGGGCATAGATAACTAAGGGAAGAATATTGCAAGAAAGAGAAGCTGGAGAAACTAAACATGCTGTGCTTGAAGCTAAACATCTTGGAAGTGAAACAGAGAAAGAAAGAAGAAATATTGACAGTAGGCTGATACATCAAAATCATGCAGAGAAATACAAAGGAGATGAATGAGGTTCATTTGTTTGGGCCTGCTTGGCCATAACACCCTCTGGATTTTGTTTTGGCCAAAACCTGAAACAACCACAATATTTGGAGATATGGTCCTGCTGATTTGCAGCCCAATCGAAACGATTTGGCAGAACAATTGAAATAAAAGATTCTTCTTTTGGGTTCCAAGTAAAACACATTTTCCATTTCATGCAATAGTTCATCAAAAGTTATGGCTGGCACCATATAATCATCCAGATACTAAAATGTTTTGAAAACTGAAAAAGACTTCAAAATTAATGATGAATAAGTATAATAAAGTATTAATACTTATTAATAGAAGTCAGAATGATAAATATGATTTTTTTTTGTTCAAAACCTTCTTAGGTTTTAGCAAAGGAACCTCAAGAAAAGTTACAGTGACAGAAAAAAAGAAAAATCCATTGATTTCCTCTGCATCAAGAAAGGGAACAAGGGGATTAACTTGCAAAAAAACCCCACTTCTTGTTGTTGCTATATTGCATTTAATTTTCACCTAAATATGTGACTAAGAAATAAACTCATTTGAGATTTTCTTAAAACGTCTCAAATTGTTTAACACATTTTGGGAGTATAATACCTCCAGCTGTTTGAAATATTTGATCCAAGGTAGCATAGAGGGCTCTGATTTTTTCTGCCACTTTATATTATAAAGTAACTTGGATGAAACATTTGTCACCCACCAGCTCCTCTAAGACAATTTCATTTTCCAAATGCTCTCTCACCAACCTCTTTGGGAAGAGAATTGCATTAAAATGTCACTTAGGGAGTTTACAAAATCTATGTTCTTTTCCCACATAAAATGCTTAAAAAGGTGCTTAAAAAGAAGAAAATATGAAATGGAAGCTGAAGGCTGCTTTGGGACTGCCTGATAGGCTTCAGTTAAATGCTTAGCAGTGTCTAATGAATCTTGATGAATATTGTTCTTTAAATGAAATTAATTAAGCTTTCATGGTGTACTCTGCTATGCAAAAATGCAATATATGGGTTTCTCCCATTGTAAATATCTGTTCCTTAGATGCATTGTTTGATTATGCTTTTTCTATAAAGTTTATTTTTTTCACTTCCAAAACCCCAAAGGAGATATCAAGAAGCTCTACATATGATAGGTCATAGAATGTGTGTGTGTGTGTGTGTGTGTGTGTGTGTGATAAGAGATGAAATAAGCACATGGGACAGCTTCTTTTTTGTCTCTAAAGGTTTTAGTGATTCAAATTTTTAAATTACAAAAGCAGATACACTTTAACTAGGATTGATCAATTCAGGATTGAATGAATTGAGATACAAATAAACATTTGTCCATACATTCAGCAACTTTCTTCCTATAGGAGAATATTTGTAGCTCAGGGTTGAAAAGAGGGGTCCTTGGTGCTCTCTAAGCTTCCTTGTTTTCTTGCAGATGTTTCATTAGGGTAATGAAATGTCTGCAAGAAAACAAGCAAGCTCAGAGAGCACTAAGTACCCCTCAATTTCTTCCTCTTATCACACACATAGAGGAGTACACTGTAGACTACATTACACTGTAATGTAGATTCAATGCAGATTCTTATTCCATCATCTAGGAGAAATGACATCTAGCATTTTATCAAACAGTGAAAATAAACTAAGGAAATTAAATGATTGAATGATCATATCCTTGTGACAAATTAAAGTGATTAGAATTAACAAACATTTGAAATTTAGTTCATTGGTTAAATTATAGTTTGCCATTTATTTATCTAAACAATACTTTGAATAGGGGATAATAAAATGCAAACATCTGACCTCTGGCAATAGAGCTGGACAGCCAGAGTGGCTGTCTAATCAAACCATTCCATTGCAATCTCTATTCTTCTTTGTTTTTTTCCCCAAATACCCAATAGGCATAGGTTTTGTAACAGGGACAAAATAACCAACTACTTTATTTTATTTTACTTGGCTTTATTTTATTTTTAAGAAAGTATTGTCAGTCAACAATAAAAAAGGTTGTCTGATAAACAACCAACTATAAGTGCCACAATTTGATGTTTTAGCGGGGAATAAACTGATGGATAAGTAGCTTACCCATACTTAGTGTCAGATTTATCTTAGCATCTCATGGGAATATACACTATGATAGCAACATGTAGCCATATGAATAGATCAGACATAATCCATAACTTAGCCAAAAGAGATTAAAATAACATATTTGTACAAAAATATAATGCAAGCATTTAACGTTAACAATGAGAAAGCTAAAAAGTCCTTCAGTGTTAAACTGCTATCCCTTTTCATTGCTAAATGACACTTTGTCTTGCTCTGGAGAATCCACTGTGATTATCTCTTTTGTGTTTGTGTGTATCTGCTGAATGTAGACTACAAATAATTTGCTGGATATCCTCCAACACTTCACACTGAAGTTTTAATATCTCAACCACCAAATAAATATGTGAAAAGATTGGTCCCATGGTGGCAGATGTTATCCTGGCAATGAAAATGGGAAGTAGATTAGATAGTCCAGTTAAGGATTCATGGCAAAGAGATTTTTTTGTTTAAGCACAGAAATATGATGTGCAGGAAAAACAGGTGAAATATCTCATCGATCTGATCTCTTTTAAGCCATCTAAGTCTTTTTTTTTTCCCCTTTGATAATCTTGCTAGGAGAAAGGACAGGTTTGTTTGTGACTTGTTAGATTTCTTTTTAAAGTTGAAGCTATGCATTCAAGAAAGAGGTAACATGAAAGATTAGCCATTTCAAAATGTCATGTGCCTGGACATTTCAATATGCTATGAGCATGTTAAATATTCATTGTTTAATAATCAGCAGAATCAAAGAGCGATCCCAGAAGCCCACAGTGAAATAATAAAAACACCTTGCTCCAAATCAAAACACTGAGCTAAAAGACTTTGTAAAATAGGAAGGTCATTGTAATTTAGTAAAACACTACAGATTGCAGAACAAGCATCCTTAGAAAAAATTGGGTCAGTTTTAAATTGCTGAGAATGACTAAATCAACTGAGCAAAATAAAATACATAATTGACTGGTGCAATTTTTGAATGGGTGAGCTGTGTTTTATAGCAATTAAGCTGTTAGGAGTGGAACTATCTCAGCTCAATCTATCCTTTTATTTCAGCAAAACTAATAATTAGAAAGAATGGAAGGGCTGCTATCTATATTGCATTGAGCTGTCGGAAGAATGGTAGGATATAAATCTAAATCTAAATCTACAGATATATATCTATCATGCCATTGAAGATTTTCCAACCTAATATATATCTCAGCACTATTTTTTCTTAATGTCCAAAAATTCATCCAAAACTATTTGCTCAGAGCAATCTTGCCTCGATATAGCAACTAAATCTGAATGTTCTCTGCTTCCTATATTCATTCAGAATTGCAGTTCTTTCTACCCCCTGAAATTTCTTGGAATAAATGATTTTTCCAAAATATATTGTAAAGATGAAAATTGTCGTTCTGATAGCAGAGGCGCAGGTCTCAGTTTTGCACTAGGGATTAATGCATTCCCTCAGGATGAAAAGGCAGAAGAGTACAAACAAATGCAAAAGATGACAGCCCTGGGAAAAAAAATATTAGCCCAGAAAAATGTCTTCCTCAGTAACAAATGTCAGGAAAAAGAAAAGAGATGGGGGGAAAAACCGGCATTCCGCTCATTTGCAGTTTCCCATCTCGTTACCTCAATGTTACAGATG